TAGCAAAGCACGGGCGCCGAAGATGGTATATTACACTTATGGTGACCAGAATACTGTGAAGGTATGTATCAGTGCACATACAAGTAGTATTGTTTATTGTATGGGGCATAATACATGTACTTTTCACTCATTTAATATAGTAAGACTGATGACCTACTGAATATTTAATTCTCCGAGCATATAATCTTAGAATGATAATATTAATAAAAATAGTGACTGCATTAACTTAATAAAAAGAACATAACAAAACTATATTTCCCTTAAAATGCCCTTATACCTCTTTCAGTTGGATATCATATTAATTAAATTAAAAATGACATAACAAAACCATATTTCTCCTAAAGCGCCCTTGTACCTTTCAGTTGGATATCGTTTGCCGGCTGTTAGGGGACAGAGGCTGGCGTGTGGGAGATTTAGTGTCGACGTTGCTTCGGTACAGTGAATCACGTCTCGATTCTTGGAGACGATCGAGGGAGACGGAACTCACGGAATCAGCTGATTCTTCACTGCCAGAATCCCTCAGGTGAGATGTTCGGTTTTGGAGTAATTTGTTTGTTTGTCAGGGCTTATGATTTGGTTGTTGTGTTGGGGTATTTTTTGAGGTAGAGTGATAGGTTGATATATTATTTGGTCAGGATTGGATAGATATAGGTTGATATTTCATTTATTCATTTTCCTGATTGGATAGATAAGAGGACTTTCCCTGGATTCTGTAAATCAAGGCTGACGATTGAATTTCCTGTATTTTTTGCATGTGATATAAAAGTGACAGACTGACATTTCATTTTTTCATTTTCTTGATTAATAGATACAGAGAACCTTTCTTGAACTCTGAGTCTTTTGATTGAATATTGATGAACATTTTTTTTTGTGTGTGGTATAAAGTGAGGCAGATATTTCATTTGTTCATTTTCTTACCTGGCAGATACAGAGGACCTTTCTTGAACTCTAACTCTAAGACTTGTGATCAAATATTAGTGAACTATTTTTGTGTGTGTGGTATAAAATGAGGCAGATATTTCATTTGTTCATTTTCTTACTTGGCAGATACAGAGGACCTTCCTTGGACTCCCTCACCCTCTTTGACGAGTTGATAGGAGCGGACCGTCCATTCACCACGATGGAGACGGAGCTATGATCAAGTTTTCAGTCTCTAACAACACCCAGTTCCTGTTGTGCCTTTTTTGCTAAACGGTTCATTTGATATCAGCTGTTCACACTATATAAAAACAGAGATAGATTTTTAGGTTTTGAATTTTTCGATGGGTCATGTCATAAGGATACATCTTGAGGAAGTCTAGGAGGTTTTGTCCAAAAAATGAAATTTGACGTTATTTGTTTATGTCGAGAAACTTGTACCATATGGTGTGCTACCTGTAATGAAAGACTATTTACACCTCTCTTCTTTTCATAGCAACATTGTGTGACTTCAGTGTGTTTCTAAAGAGTCACACATATAACGGTTTTTGGCATTGTTTCATGAATTTATAATCTGAAAAAAGGGTGATGTACCCAATAATTTTTCGTCCATATTTTGTTGTCTGTCTTTCCTACAATAGGCTTTCTCACGAATATGTATTTCAAAGTCAGTGGTGAGTGAAAAAATAGTCAATTTTTACCGTGTGATGGTTTATATAGATACAGGACATTTTTGTTTCTTTTATCCTTCGTCCCATAAATGACACTGTTCAATATCAATATTTTTTAAATGACTGAAAAATCATTATGTCGTTATGTCTCAATGATTTAGATTTGATGCGTGGAACATTTGATATCATACACATAAAAGATATTTATGACCGCTCTGTGAATCCTGAAGCTTATAGGGGGAAAAGTGCAAAGTGAACAGAAAATTTTCAAGTATATCACATTGTCAGCTTAAAGAGGAAGAATGATACAATAAACCAGTACTGAATTAATATTAAACAATATATATATATATATATATATATATATATATATATATATATATGTATGTATGTGTGTATGTATATATATATGGATGTATGTATGTACATACAACCACATGTATATGTGTGTGTATACACACGCATATATATGTGTATATAATGTCTATATATGCATATGTACATAAATACATATATGTGTATATATACATATACACATATAGATATACACAAATACCTATATATATACATATAAATATATGTACATATACATGTACATATATACATATACATATACATGTACATGGATATGTACACACATTTTGTATTATCACTTAAAATACTTGTAAAGTCATGGTGATTTCCTAAATATGCTATGTAGACTTCATATTTCATAGTCACATTGTATATTAATTGGAAAATCTTAAAATAATTTTTAAATCTTACAAACTAAAACTGTTTTATTATACATACACAAACTTTATACTACTGCAATTTTATGTTACTACAACTCTTATTTTCTTATTTTTTTCAAACTTAATTTTGCATTTATAGCTTATTTATCGCATCCAATGGAACGAGTTCGAACAATC